GGGAGTGTGCGATACTGGAATTATTCTTGTAATTGCTATTATTATTGGAATTGTTCATTTTGATTTGAGTTAACATGTCTGTATAGTGTTATCTTTTGTTTGTTCAGTGTTGTTACGAACGTTCTTGTTGATGCATGCGACTACTTTTGATCCACAACCTGCTCGGTTTTGTTTGCTTTTGTTTGTTGTAGGGCTTTTTTGGCCAGAAACGATATGATCTAATATCTTCTTCACTAAGAATCCACCTAACCAAATAGCTATCTTAAGTCCAAGATATTCTGCTCGAGGCTATCTATCTATCTATCTGTCTAACTTTCTGTCTGTCTAACTATCTCTATTTCTAGGTATCTGTTTCAAGTTCTCAAATTTTCCTAATTACCTTTTCCCCACTGAAGTTGGGAAATGGGGGCATTAGAAAAGACCAAGAAGAGAAGGCAATAATTCAAGAGACAAGAAATGGCTTTAAAACAAATTAAAACAACAGTGTAAGCGAGCTCAAAATCCATGTCTTACTGACGAAACAGAACTGCGATATAGAAAAATGTATAATATAAGTTAGAACACGTACGAATAAGTTTTATCTTAATAATAACATAAAAGTATTAAAAGCATCTTGATCCGTGATTTCAGAGAACATTATGAATATATAGCAATCATGGATAAACTATTTGTTGAATTGTCTACCAATTTTAAGGGCATCTAACAATCTCCACAACTGCACTCCGTGCAAAGCAATTCCCAGACCTCAGATTATCCTTCTGTGGAGACCGCTTTCCCTCCACAAGAGCAAAGGAACACACAGTGAAAGCTAGGATTATGATTTGTTTTAAGGTGGACGACAAAGCAGGACGTATAAATTGTTATTTCGCAGTCTATTACTGCTCGTTACGCGGATGGAATATCAATTATCAAATTCGTGTTGCTCCACTTCAGACACGCATAGTTTCCATCCACACATTTTGTTGCCACTCCAGAATGGATCTCAACAACAGAAACCTTACATATTTTAAATGATGAAAACCCAAATGTCAGCATTTTTTTTTAAAAGAAAGAGTGGCGAATTTACACAGGGTTGTTAATGTTCTACGGTCAATTTTGTGTAAACCAGGAAACAACTTTTTTTCTATTGAAAGCAAAAAAAGAAAACCATTCTCTCAAGCTCGTTAAAAAGAAAGGTAACAACAAAAGAGCGGTGCACGCTTGGATACGAATCATCATTAATTCAAGACATGTGAAGGGCAGTCTGATTTGACAAACTTTTAATGACTATTTTTACAGAGGCATTAAAAACTGTAGAGTAATTATAAGAGAATGGTGGGAGGGTAAAGTAGGGAGGAAGGCTACGGGGGAAAAAAGAGAGACAGACATAGACAGTGGGAGCGAGAGATAGACAGACAGACAGACAGACAGACAGACAGACAGACAGACAGACAGACATACAGACAGACAGCAGCAACA